TACACAGGCACTTTTTTCGGATAAATTGACAAACATTCGAGCATAGCCGTATCTACTATCTGTTTCAAAGGGGAAGAAGCTTCTGAGTGGTAATAGGTAGAGATCTGCGGTTACCAGACTTTTGAAAGAGACACCTACGGACATAATTCTGTTGTAAATTGAGTCATATCTGACACATCTAACACGGCGTACCTTTTAAAACGTCCGAACCTTCTGTGCAAGAGAGAATGGTGAAGTGCTTTCAGGGGCTTACGGGGATTCGTTCGATCCTGGCCTGTATTTTGACATCCTTTACCAAACGCTAATAGATAGTGCCTCGTATTTTTCCCGTAATCATTCTCAGGCATGGACAACGTTAGTTATTTGATAACATTAGTTTAGTTCGAAAAAATTTGCCAGTGTACACTCATAGTCTAATGGTTAAACATCGTCATGTTCACTTGGTAGTGGACTTGCCCATCTGTGATTGGTGGTGTTCCTTATCGTATCAAAGATAATTCTATAGCTTGAGAGAGCAAACTCTCTTCATCAACTCCTTGTTGCTGAAAAATAATCAAATCATCGATTGTCTGATCGCCATCAGTAGCTGTATCTAAAAGTGTTATTAAATAATTTGATGAAAATACGTCATAGTACCGATTGGATTCCATGGCCATAAGAGGTCCATCCGGGTGACAATGCAATATACTTCGTTGTTCGTACTGTGACCCTGTCGATGTTTGTAGAGCTTGTTCTTTAGCAAATAATGGTTGCATATATTGTGGTAAATGGGATGCTATTTTATTATGTAAAAGGTTCATTGGATTTAACATATCTCCTGCAAAATTTCGAAAGCCATCTAAATCAAATGGATGATTTTCGTATGGTCGATCGACCTGCAGTGAAGGATCATTGAATGTATTGTTAAGATTACTTAAAAAACCGCTAATAAACATAATAGATTGAGCTAATTCAGATGGTGTACATGAAGGACTTGTTGTCATCTCACCAAACAGGGGTTCATCGGTACATGTTTTTTCTTGCTCAATAAATATTTGACGAAATTTACGCCAATTTTGTTTATTATTTTCACCATCGGCATAA